CTCACAGGGATCTGTTTGCCTCTGCCTTCTGAGTGCTGGGATCAAAGGCATGCGCCACCACATCTGGCTATAGATGTTTACCTTTGAGTGATGTTTTTTCTTTCATTGTATGTCTATAACCAGTCCTAGGGCTCCATTGCCAAGGAAGTTAGGGAGATGGAAGTTCTTGAGTAAAAATACTGAGACCTGATTCATTCTAGCCATCACATTCTTTTTGTTGCAACTAAGTACTTTTGGAAGTAAAGAAGACTTGAGATCTATTTTGTTGTTTTCAAGCAGGGAAAATGGCTCATACCCATGTTCCCAGCACTTGGGAAATGGGAGATTGCTGCAAATTTAAGAGTAGCCTGGGCTACATTATGAAACTATATTATCCTTTCTCACCCCAGGGAAATTTGACACATTCACATTCCTTACAGCAACTAGTATTCTGGTCAAATTTCTACCATCTCATTATACATTTACTCCCCACTTTTTCCTAAACTGATAGTGTAATTAAACTTTATCGTGTTACCAAAGTTAAATAATAGCTCTTTTGATCTTACCCATTCAGAATGAGACCTGTAGCACATTTCGTGTATTTGGTTTTTTTTCCAGTGCCCCTATCTTAAAATTGATGTCTTAGTTCTGAGCTAGTTCCTTAGGTTTTTCTTCTTAGGTTTTTTTTTTTTTGTTTGTTTGTTTGTTTTGCACTTGTTCTTTTTATTATTATTATTATTATTAAATTTATTTTATGTGCATTGGTTTGAGAGTGTCAGGCCTGGAGTTACAGACAGTTGTGAACTGCTATGTGGGTACTGGGAATTGATCTCGGGTCCTTAGGAAGAGCAAATAGTGCTCTTAACCACTGAGCCATCTTTCCAGCTCCTCTTAGGTTTTAACTTACAGTTCCTAGCCTAATCATCAATTTTCTTAGTACTGTTCATAAGTTTTGATCAGTTTCCTGTTTAACCCTACTTTGTTATGTTTACTTTGCAGCCTTTATTCTGATTTGATTTTTGTTTATCCTATCTTTTCCCGTTTTTCTTCTTCCTACCTAACCATCCCTTGGACCTTGAAGATGTTGAATTAGTTTCTACCATAACCCCTAATTTTTATTTTTAGCAATAGTTTGCCAGAAAAGAAATATTTTTACATAAGAGTGGTTGGAGAGAGGAATTTGGCTGAAAACATAGTCAGTTCCTTTCCTCAGGACTTATTGAACATCCTAATCTAATGCTTTAACCTGGAAACTTTTGTGTGCCCAGATGATGTCACAAGTAAAAAAATTCTACACTGCAAAAAAAATTGTTACAGGCACAGAATAATTGAAAATTGCCTTTAGATTCTGTGTTTAAGGTGTATGTGTCTCCAAGAAATTTCAGTTTTTTAGAGACAGTGTCTGATAGCCTAGACTGGCCTTGAACTCAGTACATAGCTAAAGAGTTACTTTGAATTTCTAGTTCTCTTGCCTCCACTTCCCAGCGCAGATATTATAGATGTGCATCACCATGCTGTTTTTTTTTTTTTTTTTTGTGGTGTTAGTAAAGAACCCAGGGCTTTGTACAAGTGTTGTATCTTGTACAGTCTCAGCTCTCCCCCATGATATCTCCTTGCTGATATATGTAAACGAGAAAAACAAAAACCCGAGACACTTCTGATGAAAAGTACTTTGGATTAAAGATATTCTATGCATAGTAGCCTTGCTGTTAACTATTCAAAGTTGTTTCTTTTGTTTATTGGGAACTTTTATTTGGAAACTGTAAAACGATTCTCTTTTTTCATTGGTTTTTTTGAGACAGGGTTTCTCTGTGTAGCCTTGGCTGTCTTGGACTTGCTTTGTAGACCAGGCCGACCTTGAACTCAGAGAGATCTGCCTCCCCAAGGGCTGAGGTACAGGCATGTGCCCAGCCTAATTTCTATCAGGATATGCTAGGATAGATTTTTGCTGCTGTTGTTAATCTTTTTCTTTTTTGCCACTACTGGAGATAAAACCCAGTGCATTTAATAAAACCCTGAACATCTAATCCATTACTGAACTAATTTCTACATCTACTGTCTTAGATTTCTATTGCTGTGATAAAAACACCATTACCAAAAGCAACGGAGAGGAGAAAGAGGGCTTATTTCAGCTTACATGTCCCAGTCACACAGTCTATCATTGAAGAAAGTCAGAGCAGGAACTCAAGGCAGGATCCTGGAGGCAGGAACTTAAGCAGAGGCCATGGAAGAGTGCTATTTACTGTCTTGTTCCTCATGGCTTTCACAGCCTTCTTTCTTTTGTTTGTTTCTTTTTTCTTTTATTCTTTTTGTTTGTTTGTTTGAGACCAGGTTGCTCTTCGTAACCTTGGCTATCCTCAAACAGAGATCTGCCTCTGCTTCCCTGAGTGCTAGGATTAAAGGGGTGTGTCACCATGCCCAGCAGTTTGTTTTTTTTTCTTTGTTTTTTTTTAAACAAAACAAAACAAAACAAAACAAAACAAAACAAAACAAAACAAAACAAAACAATAGGGTTTCTCTGTGTTGCCCTGGCTACCCGGGAACTCTGTAGACTAGGCTGGCCTTGAATTTACAGAGATCCACTTGCTTCTGCCTCCTGAGATTAAAGATTAAAAGTATGTGCCACCACCACCAGTTTTTCTTTCTTTCTTTCTTTCTTTCTTTCTTTCTTTCTTTCTTTCTTT